TTTTAATTTATTTTCAAAAAAAATTACCTTATAAGCTATAACCAAAGTTGCAGTAAATACTTTGGTACAAACTCTCAAAGGCAACTGTACGGGGAGCAAATATTCCGGCGTGCCCGTATTCCTTTCTTCCGAGCTCCGTCGATGTCCGATCACCTGCGAGCAAATAATGGTGAGCTACCCGGCGGTGTGTGGCCGGAAAAACCCTCCGACGGTCAGTACAACTTCTAACAAATTAAAAGTAGAATTCATTTCATAAAGGATTCGAGCGATTTTTTTGCATGTTAGATAATCAAACTAAAATGCAAAAACTAAAAAGTACTTTTTATTTATTTTTATCTCATAAACCAAGCAAAATTACATCAAACACTTTCAACACAAATCTTCAAATTAACCAAATAGACTTAATATTTGAGATGATAAGCTAAATACTTAAATTTCACATATAACAAATCTAACACAATCTAATAACTATATTAGATAATCAGATTCACTGTATATGCCCACACAGTGAATGACAAGATGGTAATACTGTTGTTTTTAGGGATGGCTTAACTATTAGATTACTTAGTTTGTCATCTAAGACCTACCAAAAAAATTCCAAAAAATTGTTATTGCAGATTACTCTAATTTTTCAACGATAAGATAAAGTCTCATTCTGATATTTAGCCTAAATCTTCCAAAAATCGTGAAACAAAAATAGAAATTGTCAAAACCTCTTTGGCATTTGCCATATTGACATGGAGAGACAAAAACAGACAGAGATATTTTAGCAAACGAGACATTTGGATTGAATTTTTTTTTAAATACATAGATTTTGATAACAAAATCAGATACAGTTCTTTTAAATATGAGTGAATTTCATTAAATATGTGATAATCTATTTTATGTGAGAGAATTATGTCAAATTTTGTGCATGTAGAATATTTGTAGTGGACTAAAAATGATAAAACCACCACAAACTTGGGCCTTGAGTGGTATATTCCATTGGGTTTATATTCCTTAAATCTCGTATTCGGGTCGCTGGGACTGGACCACTGGCTTCTTTGTGGGCTTTTATGTATATATACCTATCTGTGTCCAATTACCAAAGGTGATCTAATCGTATGGTCCGGCCTTATAAAGCTTTTTAGTTTTATAAAGTTTTTATTTTTCAAATCCACCCAGAATAGAAAGATAAAAAAGTAAATAATAATAATAATAACAATAAATAAATAAATTTAAAAAATCCAAGAAAAAAGTTCTCTAAAGCCAAAAAAAGAAAAATTTGACTGTTAGTGGACTTTACTTTTTATTTACTTTTCTGGTCTGGCTAATAAAGTAAAACTTGGTAATACAATAAGGGGTTGTTTGGAGTATTCTAAATAAGTATATTTTTTGTCTTTTTAGACTAAAAAATTGAGAAAAAAAATATAGATGTTTGGGTTAATTTTTTTACTTTTTATGGAAAAATGTGTATTAAAAAATTGAATAAATTAGTGTGTAGGAAAAAATTAGAATTGGGAGTTGTACAGCCGTAATTTTTGACTTTTAGTGAATAGTGATAACTTTTTAACTTTTTAAGTAACTTTTTGACTTTTTAATTTTTTTGAAAGTTGCCAAACTTGACCTAAGAATCATAGTTTTAGGGTTCGAAACGATTGAGCGATTACGACACTATTGTACAATTTTCTCATATGGTATGGCAAAAAAATAAAAAATAAATAAATAAATAAATAATGTAGTACTTAAAAGGCACTGCATCAAAGACAAAAATAAATGGAAACAAAAGGCATGCCTGTGTGGGTGCACACATGTTGAGAGAGAGTGTTTGGGGTTTCAGGTAGACAGCTAGAAGCCCTTTTGGAATATATTGATATTAACATAACAAAGATCCGAAACCCCAATTCCAAAGGTCTGAGAGACTGAATAAAACTTCAGTATTCATTCTTGGCTTTTAGTTTGAGAACACTACACAACACAACACAACACAACATACAAAGTCCCAAATTCATATGATGTAAGCTTCAAGAAAGTAGTGATATATATCTCTGAAGTGCTAGCTAATAAGGGGGGTTTGTGGCTGACACTTGCTAAAAGATCACATATAGCAAACCAATGGTGAAGATTAAAACCATCTTTTGTCGTTTTTAATGCCTATCCTCAAAGACTCAAGTCAAATTTCATTAGAGTTCATATATGTTTTAGCACAAAAAACAAAAACCCATGATTTTACTACCAAAAAACATCCCTGAAAGTGAGATGTAAAGTTGTATTTAGAAGAATTATAATCAATAAATTTTGGGTAAATTTATGGGTACCTAGCAATGTTAGGTGTATAGAATTAAAAAAAAAATAAAAATAATATGCATTGTATAACTGAAATTCATACTGAGTATAATGTGAGTCACACTTAAAATAAATCATAATGACACAATGCACTTCTTATATATATACTCGATACAAGAAAAATAGAGGTTATTTCATGAATAAAGTGGACAAAAGCCCAGGAACAATCAAACATTTTGCAGATATTATAAATTGAAACAAAAATGTTGTCAGTTAATATACATAAATTTTTAAGTATTAACCGATACATTATGGCTTGGTTTGGGAGGTAGGTTGGCTTTTTGGCTTTTTGGCTTTTTTGGCTATTTTAGCCTGGGCTAAAAAGCTTGGTTTGGGAAGGGCTTTTTGGCTTTTTGGCTTTTTTGACTTTTTTTGTGAGAGAAGAATGTAATGATTATAGGTTGGATGTGATGTTTTGTTTGTTATAGCTAAAATAGCCTATTTTGTTTTTTGTGGCTAAAATAGCCAAAAAAGCCTGAAAATCAACTTGCCAAACAGAGGCTATGTATTATCAATATTTTGAACCTCTGATATCGTTATTCACCCTACAGCGGATAAAAACATAGGAACAATCAAACATGATGTAGATATTATAGATTGAAACAAAAATATTATTGGTTAATATACACAAATTTTTAAATGTTAGCTGATACATTATGTATTATCAATATTTTGGACCTCTAATATCGTATTCACCAATATATTGATCAATACTGTTCAATTTAAATCGATATTAATCATATTTCCGATATTTTCATGCCTCTTTTTAAAATCATGTACACGCTTATATGATATATAGTTAGATGAATATAGTGAATGAGAGTTCCATACTCCATATGATAATATACTGGCTTCGTTTGGGAAGTTGCTATTTTAGTAGGCTATTTTAATTTTTGACTATTTCAGTAGGTTAAAATTTTTGTGTTTGAAAAGATGATTGAATTTTTTTATGGTTGGATCTGATGTTTGTGAGAGAAAAAGTGAAATGATTATGGGTTTGATGTGATATTTTGTCTTATTAACTATTTTAACTTATTTTATCTTTTTGTAAATTTTAACCTAAACTAGGCTATTTTTTTTTCTTGCCACCCCCACTGATTCTCTTCCCTCTTGCAGTTTGGTTGTTCTGCTACACTTCATCTCTTGTGGTTCCAAAGCAGACGGGTCACCCATCCATTCAGTCCATACCCTCCACCTTTTCCCCAAATATAGAGAAGATTCGCCAACTTGCGGCTCAAACTCCCCACCTCACCACCACCATCACTTTCCTTGTACTCCCGCCGTGTGAATCCTGACAAGCATTATACTATCAACAATGATACATCCTATTAATTTGGGAGTACTAATGGACCACTAATGAGGTGAAAATTTAAAAAAAAAAAAGAAAAAAAAAAACTTAAGGCCAAAATATCACATCAGTCAGTGGGACCCACTCTCTAAAGCTCCTTTAGTGCTCTTAATTTAGAGCTCCCAATCATTTTTCTTATACTATAGTCAGTGGATTACAGAAATTTTTAGTATCTATGCAGTTGTGATATATTGTCCTAATTTTTTTTAAAATATATTTAAAGTTGAGGGAAAACCTGTTCACTCATTGTTTCCAGTTTTTAAAATTCACTTTTTGAAAAATTGTACTTTTTATTTTTTGTTTTTATTTTTTATTTTTATTTTTTATTTTTTATTTTTACTGAATTTTTTTAATATTTTAAATAATTTTTTAAAATTTTTAGACACACCTAATATAAATACACTTTGAAAATATAATATTTGTGAATTTTTTTAAAAAAAATTCACTAAATACCAACCAAAAAAAAAACTAATATTCATATATGGGGGATGCACCAATAAATCCCAAATTAATAGCTTATACACTGTTTAGTCCTAAAAGTTTTCTTATAGACTGAAAGGTCCCATTACAATGTTTCAAACATCAGATTAATGTTTCGAACATTAGATTTCGAACATCAAATTAATGTTTCAAACATTAAATTGATGTGCAAATGGGACTAAATGGAGCATAAGAAAACTTTTAGGACTAAATGGTTCAACTTTTCAGAAACTATGACTTATGAGTAAATTTTCCTATATTTTTCTTTTCTTTTTTTGTGTATTTATTAATTTTTAAAAATATTTTTTCACAAATAATTTATTATTTAGATATATCTAAGTAAGGTATACCTACAAAAGTAAAAAAAATTGCTTAAAATTAAAAAAAAAAATATTCACTAAAAATAAAATAAAAAATGCACAAAAATAAAAAAACTCAATTTTTAAAATACTGAATTCAAAAAATTAAAATCAAACGTACGGATTATTATTTTTAACCTTTCTACACATATTAAAAATCCCAACAGCAGTCATAAATATAATCTTAGGTCTTGTTTGGAAACATGCCTTCTTTTAGTAATTTTTTAATTTTTTGGTTAAAATATGATGTAAAAAAAATTAATATGTTTGAGATAATTTTTTAAATATTTTACAAAAAAATGTACAAAAATTAAAGAGAAAATAATATTTTTTTTACTTTTTATATAGGTGGTTAACTTTTAAATTTTTAAATTAAAAAGTGACGTCGTCAAAGGAGTCTTAATTTGCAATAAATCAGGTAAATCTTGTGTTTTTGGTTTGTTTGTTTCTGTGTTTCGTCTTTCACCAGTCTTGTTTTTTAACACTCTGTCATCCACTCACTGTTTATAAGCAGCTCTCCATGCCAATCTCTTCCCCATACCATCCCTCAGCCTCTTATCCTCCCTCTTTCTCTCTCTCCCCTTTCTCCATACCCATATCAACTTTAGACTTCTCACACAAACACAAGTCTTTTTCTCCATATCCATATCAAGTTTGACTTCATAATCTTTACCATCTTCAAGATTTGTAAACCCTAGAGTGAGAGTGAGAGTTATGGCATCAAGTTCTCTCAGTTCACGTAGGTCGTTGTCATCATGGACACCGCAGCTGAACAAGCTGTTTGAGCAGGCATTGGCTCAGTACGACAAGGACACGCCGGACCGGTGGCACAACATAGCAAGGGCAGTGGGTGGAGGGAAATCTGCGGAGGAAGTTAAGAGACACTATGATATACTTCTTGAGGATCTAAGGCGCATTGAGTCGGGTCGTGTTCCGATTCCTAATTACAGGTCCAATGCCAATGCAGATGAGGAACGGAGGTAACTACTACTACCCTACTCATAAACGGCATCGTAGCATGATTTTAAATAACAGCATCTAAACACATATTAGCAACGTTTTCAAAAGCGGTTGCGGTCGCCGTAACGGTGGCAGTAGCGCAGTTGCGGTTGTGGGGTGTAAAGGCCGTAGTGTAACGGTTGCGGTAACCGGAACTGTGAATTTTTTTATTTTTCGCACAATTTGAAAAAAACTTACCGATACGCATATTTTTTTTCCATAATCATATTTATTTGGTGAAAAATAAATATTGACCAATTTTTGTAAATTTTTAAGTATGATCCAATATATTTCATATTTTTAAATCACTATAAATTTAGTTTTTTATATTTTATTTTAATAATTAATGACTTTATATTATACAAAAAATCAATCACTAACTATTATATATAAGATAAACAATGACAAAAGTAAGAGAATAAATAAAAACTTCAGAACAGTAGGCCCTATCTGAAAACCACGGCCCATTCTCACTCTCCTCAATTTAATTTCTAACTAACCTTTTTAAAGCCATCAACATATATAGATAGACAACACACAACAAAATGATTGAGTGATAGCAGTTGAATAGAATAACATAGGTCTTACAGCTTCAACAAATCAATAACATGTTCTTCATCTTCCCTCTTCTTTCTCTATCTCTTGCTCCTCCATTTTCTCTCTTTATCTTCCATCTTCTCTCTATCCCTCTTCCCCCATTTTCAGTTTTTTTTTTTTGTGTTTTTAAGAAAGAAACAGTTTGGAACCGTTACGTAACGGTCCGTAACAGGCCGTTACGGCTGTTACGGCACCGTCACGACCGCTACGGCTGACACACCTGTGAATCTCAATCACACTGCAAAAGCGGCCGTAACGAGTGGCGGTAACCGCCAAAATTGTTACGTAACGGCGTTACGTAACAGTTGCGACCGCTTTTTAAAACCTTGCATATTAGTATCAATTGTACAGTTATATAATATATCATCGGTCAACATTAGTATGGAAGGTAAAATTTTAATATCGATATTTATAATCATTCTTTTTTAAATATTAATAATAGAATGAAGGTCATTACTTAGCTTCTTTATGGAATGATGATTCCACTTGCATCTATATTTTTAAAAAATTTAGTGGACCAAACTTAAGTCATTTTAATAAAATAATCATTTTTTTTCAATGAATGAAGCATAGTATTATACTTTCTATTCTCTATTTTCACATGCATGCACTGGTCCATGCTATTCAAGATTCCAAACCTGAATTCGAATATTTTATTTATTTATTTATTTATTTTTTTGGTTTTGTTTCATTTATCTAAGTGGGAAAGCAAGTTGTTAGCCTAAATTATCAGCTCTATGGTGATCACAAATTATTCTTACATGCTCCATCAACAATGTTTTATAAGATTAGAGATAATGTTTGAAACTTTGAAATGTCATAATTGTCCTCATTGTGCGTTGTAGAGAAGAAAAAAAAAATAGTTTGGACAAGGAGATAAGAAATGATGGGGACAAAGAATCATGTGTGACCTTAACTGGTTGGAATCTGCATATTTTTCATGCTATGAGAAAAATAAATAATTAATTAATTAAGGTTGGACTCTATAGCTTTTCATAAGGACCACAACTGAGACGTTAAGTGAAGGTAAAGAATCATGTGTGACCAAAAGATAAAGCTCTTTATGCACTTTGTTTGCTAACATTTTCTTCTTCTTTTTTCATTCTACAAAAAGAATCCGTATCTATTCCACTAAACTTCTTATCCCTAATCCGAAAGTAATCACACATAGTATTGAGAATACAATATAAATAATAAAATTATCTATATTTCTAACATCTTAAGATGAGTTGGTGACTAACACTTCAAAATATCAAAATAGATAATCAATTATTAGAAATTTTTAAATGAGTTGATGATCAATACTTGGCATCTAATCCTTCAAATTATCTACATCAATCACATTCCAATGAAATAGAGTATCAAACCTTATTCTAGTTTTGGTCAAGACCCATCCCCTTGTAAAGCCAACTCATTTTTTTTTGTGGAAAATAGGTATGTATTGTTTATTTTAAAATGAAAATGAACCAAATCAACTACAATTTTTTTTTTTTTTTATAAAGATTCTTCCCTTTTCTTTTCTTTTTTTGTACTCAACCATTTTAATCTCTCTCCACAAAATTTCACTTTTAAAAATACTAGTGTTCAATATATATATAGTGTCTACTTGCAAATTAATAATGGAAAGCATAATTAGTTTGGTTTTCTTGCTTTGCTTGCTTGCATTACAGGCTTCTGAGGTTCCTTAAGCAGCACTGAATTCCGAGCCTCCTCTTAGTATTATTAGTGTTGTCGACTGTCAACGCATTATTATGCAAACTAAGCCTCTCTTTCATTCACTGTCTTCGATATCTTCTGTAATTATGCACTTTAGGGGTTGTTTGGGATGTCCTAAATAAGTGTACTTTTTGTTTTTTTAGACTAAAAAGTTAAGGAAAAAAATATGGATATTTAGGTTAACTTTTTGACTTTTTATGAAAAAATGTGTAATAAAAATTTGTAAAAATTAGTTTGTAGAGAAAAATTAAGATTGAGAGTTGTGCAGCCGTAATTGTTGACTTTTGATGAATAGTTTTAACTTTTTAACTTTTTGAATAATTTTTTAGCTTTTTAACTTTTTTTAAGCATTCAAAACTTGGCGTTAATGTTTAATCTTATTTCATAAATATATATAGTTCCCCCCTTATTTTAAAGGCCCAATAAATTACTAACATCTCCACTTTTTTCATTTTTTTTTTTTGGCCCGTAAAGGTTTTTGACTTAGGGTCCAGTCCAACCAACAAGATCATGCCACATCATCATTTTAGTAGTTTAGATTATGTCATCTGCCCAATTTAACTCCAAAAAAAACAAATCATGTAACAAGATTTTAATTTATTTTTTTCTTATTTTGGGGGAAAAAGAATAAGTAATTTTATTTCCGAAAAAACAACAGGTAAAATAGTTGATAATTAGTTTATTCACAATGAATGATTAATCCAAAACTTACATTTATGATTAATCAGTTTAGATGAAACACTGATTTTTGTAATTTTTGGGTCATGAACTTGGATTTGTTCACAGGTATCTCGGGCCCATTGGATTTTGGGCCAGTACTTAAGGAATATGAAGCTTCAAATTATGGGCTAAGGTTTTAATGCTGGGCCGAAGAGCCCAACTACTACCAGATGTAAAATTGTTAAACTTGTCTCCACCTCAAATTAAAACACACAGACCAAACTTTCAAAATTTTATTATGAGAAATGCCTAATTATCACTCAATAGGTGATCACATTTAAATATGTAAACTATATATAAAAACATTTTTTTTTCCATATTTGCTCCACCACTACTACTAATCTAGTTATTAGTACATTAATTTTAGGGGTTGTTTGGGATATCCTAAATAAGTGCACTTTTTATTTTTTTAGTCTAAAAAATTGAGGAGAAAAATATAGATGTTTGGGTTAACTTTTTGACATTTTATAGAAAAATGTGTATTAAAAAATTGTAAAAATTGGTTTGTAGAGGAAAATTAGAATTGGGAGTTGGGCAGCCGTAATTGTTGACTTTTGGTGAATAGTGTTAACTTTTTAACTTTTTGAGTAACTTTTTAACTTTTTAACGTTTTCTCAATATCCCAAACTTGGCCTTAATGTCACAACCAAACATAACTAAACATCATAAGAATTTTTTTTTACGAAAAATATTTTAATATTTTTTTTAATTTATAAAAAGTATTTTTCGCCAAAACCAATCGAGGGTTCATGAAGTAGTAATAATGCATGTTTAGGATATTCGATTGAACATGATATAGTAGGTTTCTTGCTTCAAAATTTCAAATCCATAGCAACTTGATACCTCTTTCTCACTTACAAGGTTTGAAAATTCAAAATTTTCAAGGAACAATTTGAACACATTTCTGAAAACATAAATTATTGGGCATAAATTGAGGAAAGAATTCTCTTGAGTTGCTTGTTGTAAGCAAAGGGTCGCTCCATTTGAGCAAGATGCCCTGCATTCTTTATCCATTGCAAGGTGGCTTTGTCCCCTAATCGCCTGTAAAACCATGCTTTAAAAGCATAATAATTTGTTATATAAACAAAATTTATATATAAAAATTTCAAATTGAATCATTTATCTCTTTTCTATCCATGTGGAGGAGAGGATCTGGATGGATTTGCTACCCTCTTGGCTCAAAATTGTTGGGTCAAGATTCTCTCTATCCCAAAATTTTTGTTACTTTGTCTCTAATCCACTCTTAATCATATCATAAGATGGAATCTCAAAACATAAATCATAAATAAATAAATAAATGTCAAAGCACAATCGTGCAGCTAGAGTATATTAGAGATAGATGAATATATGTTTTACTGACACAGAATTTCATAACATTAAATAGATCTATTTGCAGTTGAGGCTTACCTACTTCAATTTCCTCAGTCTTTTTTTTCTTTTCTTTTTTCTTTTTAGAATTTAACAAAAATTAATATTCATATCTTATTTTTAACGTGACATTTTTTTTTTTTTTTTGTTTATTTATCATTTGACATCTCACAAATAAATTGTGAACGGCTAAAAAGAAAAGAAAAGAAAAAATTAGTTAAACATTCCTCTTTAACTTTGTACAGTAGAAGAGGTCCAAGATGTTTATTTTTATTACCTAAAGTCATTCAATGAAATTTCTTTGTGAAAATTAAAATTTTTGAGTCAGGTAAAATTTCTCTAAATCGAATTTTTTCTGTAAAAATATTGGGGGACCTTAACTAATATGAAAATATTATATGTCATTTATCTTATAAAATCTTAATATTAGGGATTTAAAAAAAAAATTCCAAACAAAAACTTGAATTTAATTTCTCAAATTAAAAATGGCATAGTGAAGAAGGTGAAATGGACATACTCTTTCATATTTTGGGCAAGTTCCAAATTGAAAATCTTGTCATCATCTCCCCACAAGCAATAGATCCTCTGCAACAGAATTTAAGAAAGTATCAATCATTTTAAAATTTTTAGAACAAGTATATGAACACACAGAAACCAATTACGTAATTCAACATAAAATTTATAGGGATGAATAAGATTTTTTTAAAACTGAACACCACTGGATTTGCTACCCTCTTGGCTCAAAATTGTTGGGTCAAGATTCTCTCTATCCCAAAATTTTTGTTACTTTGTCTCTAATCCACTCTTAATCATATCATAAGATGGAATCTCAAAACATAAATAATAAATAAATAAATGTCAAAGCACAATCGTGCAGCTAGAGTATATTAGAGATAGATGAATATATGTTTTACAGACACAGAATTTCATAACATTAAATAGATCTATTTGCAGTTGAGGCTTACCTACTTCAATTTCCTCAGTCTTTTTTTTCTTTTCTTTTTTCTTTTTAGAATTTAACAAAAATTAATATTCGTATCTTATTTTTAACGTGACATTTTTTTTTTTGTTTATTTATCATTTGACATCTCACAAATAAATTGTGAACGGCTAAAAAGAAAAGAAAAGAAAAAATTAGTTAAACATTCCTCTTTAACTTTATATAGTAGAAGAGGTCCAAGATGTTTATTTTTATTACCTAAAGTCATTCAATGAAATTTCTTTGTGAAAATTAAAATTTTTGAGTCGGGTAAAATTTCTCTAAATCGAATTTTTTCTGTGAAAATGTTGAGAGACTTTAACTAATATAAAAATATTATATGTCATTTATCTTATAAAATCTTAATATTAGGAATTTTTTAAAAAAAAAAATTCCAAACAAAAACTTGAATTTAATTTCTCAAATTAAAAATGGCATAGTGAAGAAGGTGAAATGGACATACTCTTTCATATTTTGGGCAAGTTCCAAATTGAAAATCTTGTCATCATCTCCCCACAAGCAATAGATCCTCTGCAACAGAATTTAAGAAAGTATCAATCATTTTAAATTTTTTAGAACAAGTATATGAACACACAGAAACCAATTACGTAATTCAACATAAAATTTATAGGGATGAATAAGATTTTTTTAAAACTGAACACCACTATTAAATCTTTTATGCTCTTATTCATATATTCATATATATATTTTATATCCAATTTTATAATCAGTTTTTATGTCCGTAACAAAAATTAAATTTCTCATTTCTGTGAGTGCCTTCCTTTCTTGCATTGACTAACTGACTATTGACGAACTGAGGGTTGAGACCGAAAAGAAGAAAAAAAATACTTGGGGATGATTCGAGAAGTGAGTTGATTTTTTAATTTTTTGACTTTTTTAATTATTTTAACCTGAGACTAAAAAGCATAGTTTGGAAAAGGCTTTTAATTTTTTTGACTTTTTTTTTAGAAAAAGGATATAATGATTATGAGTTGAATATGATGTTATGTTTTATTGGATTAAAAAATCTATTTTATTTTTTATAACTATTTTAGACAAAAAAACCTCCAAACCCTCTTCTCAAACCATGCCTTAAATTAGAAAAATATTTGAGGGCCACAAAATCTGTGGCTTAAATGGCTCAAAACTGTCAAAACAATGTCGTTTTGCGTTGTTTTGACAGCAAAACGATATCGTTTTGACAGTTTTGAGTCATTCGAGCCACTAAATTTTGGGTTCCCTACCATTACTACTTAAATTATTTAGTTATTTTTTGAATGATGCAAGATGTCTCCCACTAAGTCTAATCAAATTGAACTTCCTCGTGTTTAAACAGTCGAAAATAATTAGTTGTGATAGAAAACAAGCATAAAAACTATTGAATTGAAAAACACATGTACCCTCTAGAAACTCCACATGGTGGTGACACGGGTAGATGCAGAGCACGAATAAACTTATAATATTTTTAATATTTTTTTAAAAAAAAGAATCTTAGGAATATGTCCCCACAGCTTGTTTTTACTTTGTATAGAAATTAATACATAAGTACATAGAATTAAATCCTTAAAAAAATATATAATATACACTGTCTAGAATAATTTCACCCAAAAGAACATGCACTTTGTTTGGTTCTCATTTTTTAAAAACAGTTTTCAAAAAATTCTATACTCTTATTTTCCGTGTTTTTTTGTTTTTACTGAATTTTTTTAATATTTTATGCAAATTTTTTACTTTTTAGACACACCTAATGAGAGGGTGATTTGCGATCTGGAGTTGGGCCGAGGCAACAGGCCGAACAGGTTGAGAGCCCAATGGTGCATGGGGCCGAGATGATCGACTATCCGCCCAGAGATGGGCTGCCAGAACTTGGGCCGGGCAGAACTTGGGCCGAGTGTGAGCCGCCCCGGACCGAGAAGCTCGGCAAGGTAGTGCTCGGTTGGACCGAGCTGCCTGATCAGGGGATGGCTGAAGCCAGACGAGCTGAGTGACCGGCGCCCGGAAAGGCGTGGTCAACCGAGGAGACCGTTTGATCGGCAGGAAGGCCGACCAAAGGAGGTGCCCGGGCTAGGCTCTGCCGAGATGCCGCCTAGCCCGGTCCTCCTTGTGTTTATCCAGTGAGGTGCTTGGGTATGAAGCATAGCATGGCCGTGGTAGAGCAGCTCGGCTGCCGAGCTCCAGCTGTGAAGTCAGACAGTTGAGATTAGGTGATGTTCAGCAAGGTTTATGCTGACAGATGGGATAGCGGAGCCACGTGTAAGGAGACGACTGGGAGTAGATACGGGGCACAGAGGGTATATAAGCATGTCTACGCCCCCCATATGCGACAGATGAACACTTTGTAGGGATTTTCTTACATTAAAACACCTCCCTCTCTCTCTCTCTCTCTGTCCTAAGATGTGTGCTAACTTGATCATCGGAGGGTTTTTCCGGCCACACACCGCCGGGTAGCTCACCATTCTTTGCACGCAGGTGATCGGGCATAAACGGAGCTTGAAAGAAAGGAATACGGGCTTGCCGGAATATTTGCTCCCCGTACACCTAACATAAATACACCTAAAAAGTAAAAAAATTGTAAAAAAAATCTTTTAAAAATTCACTAAATACCAAAAATACAAAAAAAATACAAAAATTTAGTACATTTTTTGTATTTTTATATATTTCTTAATTTTTTAAAATATTTTTTCACAATTTTTTTATTTTTTAGACACATCTTAGTAAGGTGCATCTAAAAAGGTAAAACAAATGTTTAAAATTTTAAAAATATTCACTAAAAACAAAAAAAAAACACGAAAATCAAAAAACTCAACTTTCAAAAAAATTAATTCAGAAAACTCAAATCAAACCAAACTCAGTCATGAGTTTTTAGACTTGTAGTCATGGAAAATGATATACAAATTTATTTTTTAGACTCAATTTATAAATTCAATGATGTGTAAATAATATAATTAGTTGAATATTTAAAAAAAAATACAAGAGTGAGTATTACCTTTAATATACTAATTGATTGTCAATTAGAAAATTAAATTTAACTTTTTGTCTCAAATAAAAATACTCTATAGCCATATTCATGTGAATATTTTAGATTATTTTATCAAATTGATAAGAGAAATGTTAGGGATCATAAAAAAAATTTCATGAAAATGATCATGAAAGATTTGGGACCCTTAAATTACCTTGATTAGTATGTGGTGCTTTATTGTAACTGTAATCTAAAGGTCACAAATCTTTCATGATCATTTTCATGATGTCTAGCATTACTGAATTGATAATAATGGGTCTAATTAACAAGTGCTTCTAAGACATAAGAGAGAAAGAAATAAAAAAGTGAATAACATAAGACATTTTTTACTAAATTTAATACATTTTTATTGAAATTAATATATTTTTCAATATTTTTACATTTTTCAAAAAAAAAAAACATTTTAGTTCAATAAATAGATGAAACCCACTACTTAATTATCATTTAATAATATTTAAATCTACAATGATATGATTCCATTGCTTAATTATCATTTAATACAATTCAATAATTATCATATTTTGGATGGTAAATTCTGCGTTATAAGACACAAATACGAGACAAACGGTGAGTCCAACAAAGTCCACCACATATTGGACTTACCCATCCAAAATATATATATATATATATATGTATATGGGAGTTAGTATTTATTTCGTATATGTAAAAATCATCTGCACATTTAAATTTACTCCTAAATTGTGACGTATTATTGAACAGTGGTTATGTATCACCACGTCACTAATTAGGAATTAAAATTTTTAACTCTTTTATGAATACAAAATTTGATAACGTTAGATATAATTTTTTTCAGATGAAATGAATCCCACCGAATGTATACCTGAGGGTAATTAGGGATGGTGGGCTCTTCATCTCTGACTACCAAAGCCTCCAAAAGCTCAGCTTTCTCCTTTCGATTGTCAAACATGACCTGTGCAACGACTCCATGAACAACAATGATTTAGACCACTAAAAAATACATCACTAATAGCACTAATACATTAGAAATGACAAAAAAAATAATAAAAAAATAAAAACAAGACATAGAAAGTGGGCGGGGCCCACTACCACATCATTAGTGCTCCCTTTAGTGATCCCCTTTTAGTGCTCCCAAGCATTTTTCCTCCACGAAATGGACTTTTCACATGTGCATACACAAAAAATGATCCCCAGATAACCCCTCAAACACTCTTCAATTTTTCTGACTTTTATAAATATATATTAATGTCTATTAAAAAAACTTCTTGTAAATTAGAAAAAAATTCATGTAAGGACACGACTACACACTCTTATCTTCTTCTTGAGCCCCCTCCTTCATTTCCTCCTTGCAGGGGCCTTCGGGTCCACTTTGAGGCCCAGTTTTGATAATTTGAACTGTTCATATTTTTAGATTTATTCAGTATATTATACCTGTAAAAAATCAAGTTGATCGGATATCAGACATGTAAGGACACGACTACGAGTCCAGATCCCCTCCTTGAGCCCCCTCCTTCATTTCCTCCTTGCAGGGGCCTTCGGGTCCACTTTGAGGCCCAGTTTTGATAATTTGAACTGTTCATATTTTTAGATTTATTCAGTATATTATACCTGTAAAAAATCAAGTTGATCGGATATCAGAAAGTATACGTTCAGAAAATTGGGACTATAAACTATTTTTTAATAAACAGTTTTCCGAACACATACTTTATGATATTCGATCAACTTGATTTTTTACAGGTATGATATACTGAATAAATCTAAAAATATAAACGGTTCGAATTATCAAAACTAGGCCTCAAAGTGAACCCGAAGGCCCCTGCAAGGAGGGAACGAAGGAGGGAGCTCAAGGGGAGGATCCCAATTCCACGATTACACACTCTTATCTTCTTATCATACAACAAATTTCAATCCAAATCTCTCTTGTCCCCTATTCTTTAATTACACTATCACATCACAATTCATGAAATAATGTCAGAGATTAAAAATAAATTAAATAAAAAAAATTAATCTGTATATTATTAATCTCACAATACAAGAATTGACTCAACCACAGTTAAATATATATATATATATTTTGTGTAGAAATCCTAAATATCTAAGATTATTATAATTCCTGTCACAAACCTAACCGACCACTAACCCAATTAGCACCAATTCAATCTCCCATCTCTTTGATGCTTGTGACAAAATCATTATAACTTTCTTTAATATTACACTAAATATATATATCAAGTTTTAGTCCTTTCAAGGGATCATTAAGATTTATTTAATCGTTAATTTTAAAATTATATATGATTAGTTAAAGTACATGTAAATACATAAATTATTAAATATATATATCGAGAATGGCGCGACAATGACATAAAGCATAAGTAGAGCAATATAAATGAAATTATATATTATTATGATGAATTTGGTAATTTTACAGATATACCTCGACAGGGGTATCTGTAATTTAGCCAAACCTCGAGGGGTAATTTAGCTAAGTAGAGCAATATAAATGAAATTATATATTTTATGTTTTGATTGGTAATTTTATTATTTTTGAAAATTAAGAACAATCTTAAATGAGTGAAATACCTCGAGAAGGTCCCTGTAAAAGAAATCAGGCAACCATGGCAACTTATGAGTACCAACCGAGAAAAGCAACTTCACTCCCTCCACCGACTCCGGCAACAGAAACTCCGACCACCGCGACAGCCCAATCCTGGCAAGACACGCGTCAGTAATAGACTGAGTCAACTCAACCACAGTACAAGACACAACCATATTCTCAACCAAGTCAGGGTACAACTCAGCCATCTTAAACCCAACCATCCCGCCATAACTAAGCCCAACCAAAGTACAACTCTCCACTGCCAGCTTCCTTAACCCTGTTGCCAAACACTCCGCTTGAAACTCCGGCGACCGCTCCGCCCTAGCGGTGGCTGAGCCGCCGAAGAAGAGGAAGTCAGGGATGTAGACTGAGTACTTTCCGGCGAAGGCTAGGGCTTGGAAGAACCACATGAAAATGCCATCGGCAGAAAAAGGATGGGCAAAGACTACAACTGGTTTTGTGGGTTTGTGCCATGTTTGGCAATTCTGGTTTCCGGGTTTTTTGAGGACTTGTTTGGGGACCCAGAATTTCATTATAGTCCCTGGCTCGATCTCTATGGTTTGGGGTGTTAGTCCGGCTAGTCTTACAAGTAAATGCATTAAAGGCTTGAGTACTGCTGCTACCAAGTTCACCATCTCTCTCTTCTTGACTCTTTCTCTGATAAATGAGTATACTGTTGTCTATATACAATGGTCCAACACTCAATTTTGAAAAAAAAAAAAAAAATTAAAGTGGATTATTTCTTATTTTTTGAAAAAATAAATTAATATAACTTTAATACGATATTATCATCGATGGTGGTATCACCTTTAATAACAAGTTCTTGACCTGTCTGGGAACTTAAGTTTGGAACTAAAATAATCTCAAGGTCAAGTTTCACATCTTTTAAAAAATTTAAAAAGTCAAAAAATTAAAAAGTCACTATTTTATTTAAATCACATTATCTTATTTAAGTCATATCATTTCTTTAACACATCACTTCAAACTCAATCCAAATTCAACTCATATTTCATAAAAAATCAAAAAATACACTTATTTAGTCTTCTCAAATATTAAAAAATTAAATAATCTCAAACAGTAGTTAAGTTAAGGACTTATATTAAAAAAAAAGAGGAAAAAAGAATGAGGTTAGGACAGCCTATTACGCTGACTAAAGACCTATATTAAAAAATAAAAAAAATAAAATGGTGTCAGGGACAGCCTATCACATGACAGCCTATCCCATACATAGTAATTGACAATTTTGACTTTTTAAATCAATTTAAAAAAAGTGAGGTCAGAAATAAATTTATGATTTGAGATTTAAATATCATTTTAAACATATTTTTTAATATAATAATTAATCAAAAAATTCAATTTAATTTTTTAAACATAAAAATTAAAATAACTTACTAAGGCTTCGTTTGGCAAGAGTTAAACAGGATTTTTTTGGCTATTTTAACTACAAAAGACAAAATAAGTTATTTTAGCCACAAAAAACAAAATATCACATCCAACTCATAATCATTACATTCTTCTCTCACAAAAAAAATCAAAAAAGCCAAAAAATCCTTCCCAAACTAAACTTTTTAACCCAGGCTAAAAAAGCCAAAAAGCAAAAAACCCAACCCACTTTCCAAACGGAGGCTAAGATTTCGTTTGACAAGTGATAATTTTAACCAAAAAGTTATTAAAAAATAAAAAAGTTAATAATTTATATCAAAAAGTCAAAGATTTCATTTTCTCTCTACTTTTTGCATAATTTTTCTTAAAAAATAAAAAAATATTCTAAATATACTAATTTTTTTTATATTATATTTTAACTAAAAAATTTAAAAATTATTAAAAAAAATGTCCCCAAACAAGATTTAAAATAATTAAATAATTAAAAAACCAAAAAAGTAACTAGGTGATTGGGTAAGTTTGAGAACCCCATTGTATATGTGGCAATTGTAGAATTATGCTACTAGTAGTTATATTTAAAGTGTAACATTTTATTATGTTTACATTTATTATGAATCATTAATTTAATAAATAATTGAAATTACCAAAACAATATCCAAAGATTTCACGGCCCGAGCAGCGTCAAATGCTTGACTGAAATAAAGCTACCTCCTTTGTTTTAACTTGAATCAACTAGCATAAATGCAGGATGCTATTATTGAGAAAAAAAATATATATGTATTTTCATGATGGAAAAGGATCTCTCCCGGTCTAGATTTTAGATCGAAGGTTACTGTTTGTGTAAACATAAATTTCATAACATGAAACTTCATGTTTCGGATCATTTACCATGTATATCATCAAGAAAACAAGACTAAAGCTTACCCGAATTCATCGATGAACGGTTAAACGGAAGCGTCTGATTGTCAATAAAACCTTTGATATTGACTATGTTATTGTCTTTTAATCCTTTCCCCTTTGGTGCCTTATGTTTCTCCTTGAGAGGATAGAGAAAAAAAAATGGCAGGGTTCTTATTTTCCACCACTTGGGAAGGAATAGGGACCATAACCATAACATTTTAAAGGTTGTAATTGGTTTTCAAAACTGAAAAGTTGTGGAAGTCCAAAAGACATGAAAACCAACTTTAACCATTATTGGTTTTAATTTCTGTTTATTGGTTTTCAAAACTGAAAGGTTGTGGAAGTCCAAAAGGCATGAAAACCAACTTTAACCATTATTGGTTTTAATTTCTATTTATTGGTTTTCAAAACTGAAAGGTTGTGGAAGTTCAAAAGGAATGAAAACCAACTTTAACCAATATGTTTTAATTTCTATTTCTGCCCCTCATAGAAATAGAAATTATACAACTAGTATCTATACATTAGGTCCATAACACATATACTCTTAAGCCTATTAACTAAATTGAATCACTTAAATTGTAGACTTCTTATAAATGATAAGACCACATTTAATTATGTGATCCCATTGAGACATTATCTAACAGTTTGAACCCGTAAGATCTATTATGAGTCTCATTTCTATAATTTAAACCGTTATTTTGTGTATTTTATTCACAAAAAAAATTTCATTCAATCCGATAATTGTAACTTATTCAACTTTTTACTAAAAAATAGACAACAATTATGTTTTTAAATATAAATCATATATTTTTTTAGTGACAAACTTAATAAATTGAATAAGTTACAGTTATCAGATAGACCTAATTTTTTTTTTTTTGACGAAATACATGTAGTGCCTGACAAAATAAATTGTTCAAATTATCGAAATGAAGTCCGTGATAGGCCCCATAGACTCAAACTATGCCCTTCAGTCCAAAATTTAGATGGAAGGAGATCCTCTTCCTTTCATAAACATTAAATATAGGAGCAATATTATTATGAGACATTATTATTAATTTATGAGAAATTTCATATTGCAATTTAATTTCATTTGTCATCATTTATTAAATAATTACACTACATAAGTTTGTGATAATAAATATGTGCCTATATTGTGTGGATATGCCATACAAGGGTAGTAGCATGCGACACTGTGGGTTGGTTTGGAATGTTTGGTTTTTTAATTTTTTAATTATTTTAGTATGTGATTAAAAAACATTGTTTGGGATGGGTGTTTTTTGGTTTTTTAAACTTTTGTGACAGAAAAAATGAAATAATTATGATTTGAATGTGACATTTTTTAGTCTAGGACTAAAAAAAATAAAACCTTTGATATTGACTATGTTATTGCCTTTTAATCCTTTCCCCTTTGGTGCCTTATGTTTCTCCTTGAGAGGATAGAGAAAAAAAAATGGCAGGGTTCTTATTTTCCACCACTTGGGAAGGAATAGGGACCATAACCATAACATTTTAAAGGTTGTAATTGGTTTTCAAAACTGAAAAGTTGTTGAAGTCCAATTGACATGAAAACCAACTTTAACCATTATTGGTTTTAATTTCTGTTTATTGGTTTTCAAAACTAAAGGGTTGTGGAAGTCCAAAAGGCATGAAAACCAACTTTAACCATTATTGGTTTTAATTTTTATTTATTGGTTTTCAAAACTGAAAGGTTGTGGAAGTTCAAAAGGAATGAAAACCAACTTTAACCAATATGTTTTAATTTCTATTTATGCCCCTTATAGAAATAGAAATTATACAAGTAGTATCTACACATTAGGTCCATAACACATATATTCTTAAGCCTATTAACTAAATTGAATCACTTAAATTGTAGACTTCTTATAAATGATAACACCACATTTAATTATGTGGTCCCATTGAGACATTATCTAACAGTTTGAACCCGTAAGTTCTATTATGAGTCTCATTTCTATAATTTAAACCGTTATTTTGTGTATTTTATTCACAAAAAAAAAAATTAATTCAATCCGATAATTGTAACTTATTCAACTTTTTACTAAAAAATAGACAACAATTATGTTTTTAAATATAAATCATACATTTTTTTAGTGACAAACTTAATAAATTGAATAAGTTACCGTTATCAGATAAACCCTTTTTTTTTTTTTTGACGAAATACATGTAGTGCCCGACAAAATAAATTGTTCAAATTATCGAAATGAAGTCCGTGATAGGCCCGATAGACTCAAACTATGCCCTCCAGTCCAAAATTTGGATGGAAGGAGATCCTCTTCCTTTCATAAACATTAAATATAGGAGCAATATTATTATGAGACATTATTATTAATTTATGAGAAATTTCATATTGCAATTTAATTTCATTTGTCATCATTTATTAAATAATTACACTACATAAGTTTGTGATAATAAATATGTGCCTATATTGTGTGGATATTCCATACAAGGGTAATAGCATGCGACACTGTGGGTTGGTTTGGAATGCAGGTTAATTTTTTGGTTTTTTAATTTTTTGATTATTTTAGTATGTGATTAAAAAACATTGTTTGGGATGGGTTTTTTTTGGTTTTTTAAACTTTTGTGACAGAAAATATGAAATAATTATGATTTGAATGTGACATTTTTTAGTCTAGGACTAAAAAATCTATTTTGTCTTTTTATAACTATTTTAGTCTCAACCTACCCCAATCCATCTTCCCAAACAATGAGTGTAACATAATAATATCATTCCATCTATTTGAGCTGAGCATTCTTATTCAGACATAAAAGTTAGACTTATTTTTTAGATTCAGCGATGTGTCAAGAAGCTGATTAATTGATAATTAAATATTCTTTAATTATCATTTAATTATTTTCATAAAATATCACTAGATCAATAAAGTAGCTTTAAAAAATAGATTTGTATATTATTTTTCTTATTTTAAATGATGTTGAGGGAGAACTACATGTTAATTGACACATTGGGCTTCACAAAAATCATGGGGATTCATTAACAGATATGGTTTAGATTTCGTCTTAAAATAAAAGCAATAATAGATGTAACATGTTTACATTTTTATAATGAGTTATTCATTTTAGATGGTGATAGGTGTTCCAAGAAAATCAAGGGTTCATATAATAGGGATTTTTGGACAAATTTTGAAGAAAAATATAACCCATCCATCACATGCACACGCCGAGTAATTTTATGGAGTAATTATGAAAATAAATAAATAAAAAATTAAGTAACATATAATAATTTCAACAATGATTCATCCCACTAAAAACATCACCACTAATAGCACTAATGCATTAAAAAAGTAAAAAAAAAAAAAAAACACAACTCTATGACCAAAATATCACATCATTAATGGCGGGACCCACTGTCACCTAATTAGTGGGAGCACTAATTAGTGCTCCCAAGCATTTTTCTAATAATTTTATTGAAAGAGTGATCTTTAATCCAAAATCTAAGCAAAAACAGAGAGTAACTTGGGGTTGAAATTGGCCATATAATGAGCAATAATTTTAAAGTCAAAATCACCCAAATATTTATCTTGGATTAAGTAATAAGATGATCCACTCTATCACCATCCAATTCAAAAAAAACAAAAAAACAAAAATTGTTATTTTCAATTAAATTTGACTTATAAAATTTTAATACATTTTTCAGACATTTTAATACATTAACATTATCATTTTCTTTTCCAAATCCATTACTTTTCAACAAGTATGAAGAGATCACAGAACAAACACACTTTTTAAACATCCAAGAGCAAAAAAATCACTGTATGCCTTCTAGGTTCAAAGTACACAAACCAAAACCCAACAAAGCTAAAAAAATAGTGACACAAATTGATCACAAGACAATCCATCAAACAGAGTAACAATCTTCATCGCCAATCAGTTCATCAACTCACTAGCTCAACTGGGTACCTATCAATGCAATCAGCCCAAGGACTGTGATTCGATGGCTTCACATTCCTCAGTGCTTCCCACACCGCACTGTTACATTTAAACCCACTTCCAAACGCAATTTGCCAAACTCGATTCCCCTTTCTCATCCTCCCTTTGGCCTCTGTATAACCCAATTCATACCAGATCGAACTCGACGAAGAGTTCCCAAATCGATGCAGAGTCATCCGAGACGCCTCAACATGCTCAGGCGAAAGCTGCAAATTTTTCTCCAGTTCATCAATAACCGCCCTGCCACCCGCGTGTATGCAGAAATGATCAAAAGCCAACTCAAAATCCGGGATATAAGGCTTAATCTTCAGATTCAGCAATTTTTTCCCGACAAGGGTCGAGAAAAAGAGAAGCTGCTCGCTGATCGGTAAAACCAGAGGACCCAATGTGGTGATGTTTGTTTTGAGAGCTTGTCCGGCAATTGCCATTAAATCTTTCGACAGCGAAACACCGGTTTTGCCATTGTTGTCTTGTTCTTGATAAACGCAATTGAATGCCTGGTCATTGGCACCGCAATGAGTTCTCACCACGTGAACGAGCTTGTATTTTGCACGCTTTCGTTCGGCAGGTTTGTTCGATAAAAGCATGGCGGCGCAGCCCACTCTGAACAAGCAATTGGGTATCAACATAGACTTTTTGTTTCCGAAATACCAATTCTGAGTAATGTTTTCGGTGCTAACAACGACAGCATAAGTGTTTCGATGAACTTGTAACATGTCTTTCGCGAGATCGATGGCGATCACACCTGCACTACAACCCATTCCCCCCAAATTGAATGTTCTGATATTGCCTCTGAGCTTATATTTATTCACAATCATGGAAGATAAAGAAGGAGTTGGATTAAAAAGACTGCAATTCACGACTAGTATTCCGATTTCCTTGGGTTTAACGTTGGTGGAAGCGAAAATGTTGTCGAGAGCGCCGAACATAACCGTCTCCGCTTCTTCCCTGGCGGCGGACATGGTGGGACGCGGCGGAATAAAATGCATCGCCGCCGGTACACAGGTCTCGTCGCCGAGACCCGAACGTTCAAGAATCTTGCGTTGGAACTCGAGGGACGACTGGTCGAAATCGCCGGTGAGTCGGGAATGTTCCATGAAGCGGTGTAACGAGGCCCGGAGGTGGTTCGGGGGTCGGTAGCAGGAGTAGTCAACGAGGTAAATGGATTTAGGTCGGGTCATGAGATAGACCGTGGACCCGAATACTAAGAGAGTCAACGACATGATTACGGTGACGAGGTTGTATTGGAGGTGGAGGTAGAGATTGTGAATGTCTTGGTAGTCCGTTTGGGAAGCTTGGAGGATTACAAAGGTTATGAGAGGGAGTAGAGAGAGAGTGAAGAGGTGGGTGACTAGATAATGGTAGCCTAACTTAACATACTTGAGGTTGACACTCTGGAGGAAATCAGGGAGTCGCCGGGGTTGGTGGATGTGATCGCCGCCGTGGAGGGTGGTGGGGGGTGGTGGTGTTGTCATGATTGTAGTGGTGGTGGAAGAAGATGTGGTGGTTTGGATTGGAATGAATAGGGTGAGATAGTGTAGGATATATATATATATATATATATAATAGCTCCAGAATATAGCGTAGCATTGAGGTACATTTGATTCATGACAATGGGCTATATCCATACATTTGGTCACTCGCATAATGGTTTGGAAGTGAAAGATACAACTATAGCACCGGCCTAATGTAATTTTTTTGATAGACTATGGCTTACACGTAATTTTTTGTATTTTTGGGGGCGTTTCTTGTAAATCACACACATATATAGACTATGGGGGAGCTTCTATTTACACCCACAACATCCACTCTCTACACATCTCTCCTCACTGCACTTCCTACACACCTCCTTCCTTAAGTGTGTGTATTGTATTGAAGGTGTTAGGTGTGTGTATATAGAAGCTCTCACTATGGGGGTGTTTCTTGTTTATAGGAGGTAGAAGGTGGGTAGGAAAAATTATGTTTTGCCCATCAACAAATTTATGTGGTGTTCTAAATCAAATTTGATTGGTTAAAATAGTATATCTCACTATTTTTGCTTCTTTTGAAAAGATAAATAAATAAGTGTCTAATCTGTAGTGTGGAATAATATTTCAAGATTATCGAATATCTTCTTAGGAGCAATTTGGAAAGAAGTTAAAAAAGTTAATTTTTTGATTTTTTGATTTTTTTAGTTAAAAAAATCAACTTTTTTATCCAAAATAATCTAATTTTTTTTTTTTGCTAAAAAAGCTAAAAAAAAAGTCAAAAAATCAAAAAGTAAACTTTATACTAACTTTCTAAAACATCACTTAAAAGGTAGGGGCATCACTGCAATTCTTTCACTATGTTCCAAGTCTCTCCTCATTCCATTTCCCAAAGTCATATGTATTTAAGTGTTATTATTTTTAGTAATAAATAGAATAAATTCAACAATATAAATTATTGCAATGAATTTAGTGAGTTTTGTAGTGGAAATTATTCAATATTTTTGGAGCACCACGTGATTATATTTCAAATTAATTATCAATTACTCAGTCTCATGTTGTTCTTCATTCTCAACATAAATTGTGAGTCTTTACGCCTCTTCATCAATCAAAACTTCATGGAATACCACGTGTCCATACTTTGAGAGTACTGAATAATCACATGTTTTGTAGAAAGGAAAAAAAGTATTTGTTGCCAACTAGAGACAATTTATTTATTTATCATTTAATGTATTATTTTAAATAAATAACAAGTTAGGTTTTAGGTCAATTAATAAATATATTATAATTATTTTTATATTATTCTCAAGTTATTTCAAATTAGTCATCCCTTGACCCATTCATTATTTTTTTTTGAGTAAATCTAAGGCCCCGTTTGGAAACAGGTTAATTTAGTATTTTTTTGACTATTTGGTTAAAATATGAGCTAAAAAAAATTAGTATGTTTGAGACGACTTTTTGACATTTTACGAAAAAATGTGCAAAAAGTAGAGAGAAAAGAGAATCTTTGACTTTTTGGTATAGATTGTCGACTTTTTGATTTTTTTAATAATTTTTTGACTTTTTAACTAAACCGGTCACTTCCCAAACGAGACCTACATAAAATTTTCACAAAATAAGACATATATGTGAAATAAATAGTGTAAATGTCACGGTTGTAACTCTCATTCCTCTAGCTTATACATGTCTCCTTATATAAATTTATTTCATTTTTTATATATTTAGCACTACTGTTATTTTTTTCCGAATAATATTATATGTATCAATTGCTATATCAATTAATATATTAATGGACAATATCACATAATTTTAAAAATTTTTAATTTTTATAATTTATATAATAGGTAAAGTTATAATTTTAAAATGACAATATGATAACTATATTAGTACAATAATTAATATATTAATTAATACATATTGCACTATTGTTTTTTTAATACGAGTAATGCTAGATATCTCAAAAATTTTATCAAAATTTTTATGAAATGTCTCACACTAAAACTTACATAGTGTGAGTCTCATATCCATATAAAATATTTAATAAAAAATTTGATAAATTTTTTAAAATGCCTAACATTTTTCTTTTCATACATTGTGCCTTCATTAAATACGTCACGGGTACCAACAGCTTGCATGTTATTCAAAGTCACATTATCACTTTATCATAGTCCGCGCTATACTTTAATGTTTGAACAAATTATATATACCTCTCTCGACATTTAACTAAATTACAGATAATCCTCTGAGGTTTCAGAAATTACAGATATTCTCTGAGATTTATATTTTTATAACAAATTGTCCCCTGAATTTTATATTTTCATAACAAATTGTCTCCTAATTTGTTATGAAAATATAACTTTCAGGGAGTATCTGTAATTTCTCAAACTTCAAGAAAGTATCTGTAATTTTTCTAATCCTCAAGGGGATATATTGAATTTGCCCTTAATGTTTTGTGGTATCGCCGGACAAAAAATTGTTCTTGTAAACAATTGCAAATTATATACCAACGTACAGTCCAAGTCCTTGTTGGCGAGAGGCGGAGCCACCAAAAGCTTAGGGCAGGCCCGGTCCTCAGATCTTTTGGGTTCAAAATCGAAAACCAATTAATAAATTTTTGAAGTTTTTCATTTTTTTTTTCATCGAATGAAAAAAGAAAAAAGAAAAAATAAGGTAAAGTATAAAATATTTGTATTAAAATCACAAAAAATATTTAGTATTACAATAACTCCTCTTTGACACTTGACTAATTTTTCTACTCTTTGCTTCTTTTTCTTTTTTGCGAATCCAGTGGATAGTTTCTTTTAAGAGTCATAATGAGTTAACATTAAAATATTTTTTTAGATCAATATTCAAAACAAGAGTACCACCACCTCTTCTTAACAAAACACAAAACTTTTAAATGGGTATGTTTGTTTGGACGGACTGGATAAGGGGGGATTATAATCGATTGGACTATTAGTCCTGGGATACATTGTCCCCGGACTATTTGGTTGGACTGAATTTGTATCCTATGTTTGTTTGGTCATGGGATTAGATGTCTAGATTGGACTATTTTTAGTGAATCCAATATTTGTTTGGAATATTATGAAAAAAGATAAATGCTCAAATGACTATTTTATCCTTTTCAATTATTTACTAAGTAATAGCAATACTAAACATAGTTTTAATATTTTAATTATTTTTAACTAGATTAAATAAAAATTTATTTTATTTTATTTTTTTCAGAATTAAATAAATTTATTTTTAAAAAATTAAATATAAATAAAAATATATGTTATTTCTTTAATTAAAATTTTAAATAAATTTATTTTAAATAATAATAATAATTAAATAATGAAATAAAATAAAACATCTATTAAAATTTAAATAATGAAATTAAATAAAGTATAAACAAAATTTTAAAATAAAACATTAATAAAATATCTATAAAATAACATTTTAAAAAATTAAATAAATAAAACAAAAATAAAAATTAAATAAAATTATTTTATTTTTAAATTGAGACATTTAAATTTTTTTGAATTTTACTAAATATAATACATAATTAAATACTAGAAGGCAAAAATGTAATTTCATTAGCTAATCCCCATGGGATGAGTTATCTCATTGTTTCTATCCAACCCCTTCATAGGATATGATAATCCCACAAATATGGGACTAATACCGACTATTAGTTCGGAGCAAAACTTTTAAAACAAACAATAGATTATTGATCCGGTGGGGCTAATAGTCCAATCCAATGGCCTAATCTTTCAAAACAAACACCCTACTGTGATGTGAACTATTAAACTTAAACAAATTCCTCTTGATGATGTAAATACCAATATTATAATGGCAATTAATTGAGCAAAAGACAAGACACATATTTAATTAATTAAATAGAAAAAGAAAAAAATACTTGTGCTGTTGCTCTGCCCCATCGTGTGTTGCTGCTTTGTTGCTTGGTTGGCTTGGGTTGTTGGTGTGCTATCAAACAAGCTGTGGGGAAAATTGGATTAAGGGAATGTAATAAGGTTAGAAATTAGATAAGCATTTCAAGCTGCTGTCAAAGCGGGCCTTAACTGTTGGCCCTTAATTGTTAGGAATTAAGAATTGGATTAATTGTTGGACCTTTCAAACTGCTGCTTTGTTGGGCTGCAGTGTTGGGCCTTTTAATTTTTTAATGGACCAATATATTTTAAGTTAATTTGAGCCTTTTTAATTTATTTTTTTTTAGACTTAAAACATACCTAATATATTACATTAAATTGTAATAGGAGGAGGCCCCTTTTTTGAGCTTATTTTGAGGGGCCTAAGGCATCGCCTTGTGGGCCCATGGTCAGGGCCGGGCTTGCTTAGGGGGGTCACGTGCTCCTAAACTTTTAATATTTGTATTGTTACTCATATAAATAAAGATTATGTATTATTTGTGTGACGCCCCAAATTTTTTTTTTTTTAATATCAAGGGAAATTAAATAAACAAAATGACTTAATAAACTAAAAAGTTGACATCTTAATAGGGTAATCCAACTCTCGTACATAACCAAACGTCCAAATAATAATAGATAAAAACTTAAAATTATCCAAATACAACAACAAATGAAATTATAAAGTCCTTAATAGCTATTATATAAAATAATATAATTTATTCGGCTCTACTCGGGGTTTCAGGTCAGCCAAGGCTCTACGTTAGCGTCGACTCCATTTCAGCTTCAATTATTTTCTCGCCAAGACCTGGCATAAAACGCCAGGGCAACAAAAATATATGCCATGAGTTTTGCAACACAGTAAGAAAACATAACCAACCTACCATTCTTTTTAAGAGAAAAATAATGAGATTATAAACACGAGATAATAATATAATTGTAAACATGAATTACAAAATAATAATATTCTAAACATGAGATAACAATATAATTATAGACAGAAATTACAACCATTAGAATAATTTCAGTAATTTTAATAAATTAGGTGACACTCAAAATCTCACCAAAGAGATTTAACTTTCCAACCACTAAGCATGGCAACGGTTAATTTGAAACCCTCCATTGGTCAAATATTCAAGTGTTACCAACCGTAACTACCAGGGATGCCCACGTCCGAAGTGA